ATTATAAGTATAAAATTAATTTTGATTTTGATTATAATTAGATTATATTTAAAATTTATTATAATAGTTTAATTATAATAAAATTAATTATAAAATTTAATTATAATTATATAAATCTTAATTGTAATTATAACTTCATTATAATAAAATTTAAGATTTAATTCAATTTAAAATTAACTATAATTATAATTATTATATAATTTAATAATAGTGTAGTAATAATATGACCCACATGAAGCCATCCCACTTCAGTGCTTTCTTGGAATGTGTAGGTACACATGTGCATGTAAACACATATGTACAGACTTTTCTATGCGCTTTTGTGTTTGTTTTTATTGTGTTGATCATTTCATGAAGCACCTAATCTTCTACATGTTGGTTATGCAATACCGAGTGCAATAAAGTCAGTCTTTATTTTTGGAGATGACAGAATATAAGAAGACATATAACTCAAGGTAAGGGCAAAGTAAGTAAGACTTGTTATCCTTGAGCACCACAAGATAACTCCCTTGGTCACAATAACAAGAGAGGCCATAATAAAGAAACTAACCCTTTTGGTGTGAAGAAACTGATTCATGGTTCCAAAGTATAACTTTAAAGAAAAGTCAATAATAATAATAATAATAATGAGATTAAAGATAAGAAAAGCCTTCTTATGGAAGAGGGACACTTTTTCAAATGAAACTTCTATGGATTTGACATAGAACTGGACTGGGAAGAATCTAGACAGAATAACACTGGCCCTAAACACACATCAACAAAGACTGTGCGAAAGGGAGGAGTGAAAGCCCCAAACAACTTAGACCTGCAGCGAGATCTAGCTTTCCAAGTACGATGGGACACTTGGTTAACACTACTTGTAAAACTGAAAGACTGGGAGATACACAAGCTTGTTGCTTTAGAATGATTTCTCTTCAGAAAAATTTTCTTAAGTAACCCAGGAAGCAGGCGTTCATTCAGTTGTTCATGAGCATAAATACTGACTTCTAGTCTCTTCAAAAGAAGTAAACATCCCCGCTATGTACTCCTGAATAAAGAAACAGATGGATCCTGTTTATTAGTTAACCTCTGAAATGTTTCACCCATTATTTATTTCTTTGGTTCCAAAGAATAAACTCCAAACATACATTAAACTGAAAAAGAAGACAAATTTACATAGACAAAAACTAATTACCAGATTGGCAAATGTTAATAGGTTGCTTTTAGATGCAAAACTTTATAAATCCAAATCACAGATATTCTGTTAATTGTAGCTCCCTAGCATTCTGAGAGTTATTGATTTATTCATGGTGATATGTAACACATATCAAATGTAGGTAATTACCAACTTCTCAGAAATTGAGACCCTAGAAAGATGGACCTGAAGTCCTTCTCTAAACCTGGGAGCCATGAAAGCACTACCCCTGAAGTGGAGACAGTGAAAGATGTTAGCAGCAGACAGTCGGACACCTCATGGGATGGAGGACAAGGAACCCTCAGCACTTCGAGGGGGCTTGGATAGAAACAATGACAGAGATACATGAACCACAGGCCCTTGCCAAGCACCTATTCAGGACAAAAATTCATCTTACCATGAATTACAGATACAGAGGGAAGAGAGGGAGAGGGAGAGTGCCAAGATAACACACCCTGTCAGGTCCTATCTCGAAGTAAGCCTCATCTCTGAACAGCACAACAGCACATTCTGCCGCTGATGAATCAAACATCTGATAAGTAGAGTGCTGTCATCACCATTCCAACACATGAGACTTTTAGATCTGAACTACAGCAGTTCTCCCAAAAACGTAATGGTCACACATAACAAAGTTACATATTGAGATTCATGTGCTCTGACACAATTATTGAATTTTGCTCAATGATATGTTTAACCGGCCAGTATAATAATATAACCTAAGTCGGATAACGCATAAGAACCACATTTATTTATTTATTTGGTACTGGGGATCAATATAAGGACCATATTTTACTTTACTCCTTATACTAGATCCCCAAACTAGGAATGTGTGAGTTGTGAACTTTCACAGACATGAACAGGCCTCCATTACAAACACTTGTAGATGTGAACAAATCACAGAAGTAGCCCACATGTCTGCTAGACATTGTCACAGTTGTGCCGCTGTGTGCTTATGTATGGTGTGATAGTGCACAGCAGTGCAGTAGTACAGGGCACAGTCGGAGCCCGGGATGTCTGAAAGCAAGAGGAAAAGCAGTGGTGATGTGGAGGGAAACACTGGGAATCACGAAGCAATGTACATTGTATGTTTGCGCCACAGGCATATGAGACTCACTTTGTCAGACTGACAATGAATCTGACTTAATGAGTGAGCTCCATAAGTCAGGAACTTGCTACACTCATGTCTTCAGCGTAGCTTGCCAACATTTATTAAATAAAGCATAAACTTATTATAAACTCAGTTACTCTGTATTAGCATTTGGGGTTTTTAGTGCATTATTTTCCCAATTGAGAGTGTTCAACAATATTTAGAAACTGTGCAGTATCAACTCTTAGTTTTCAGCATGAATCTGTATAACACTTTCTAATTTACTTACCTGCTGACATATGTGTTAGTGCTGCCTTCTGATTTGTATCTAAAAAAAATGAAAATGACGACCTAATTAGTACTAAAAACAGCTTGAAAATGTTGGAAATGAACATCAGACTGTTACACAAGCAGTATATTATCAAACTACTTACAGATACCCTTGGATACTGCTAAGCAAGCAGAGTACCTGTCACAGGGTTAACTCCCCAGTGCTTTTCATTATCACTTCTAAACACAGAGTACGCATTTGTTCCTGAATGTTTGATTATGATCTTCGTACCCGTAATTTTTTAATTCATTGTTAAAAATTGATTACATTGTGTAAATTAAAAACTAGACTGACTTCTAGACAGTCTGGTAGAATGGGCCAGGAAATTTTCCCTTTTCATTCGTCAAACAGAGGAGTGGTCAACACACACACACACACACATTTATCACCCAGCAGCTGAGGTTAACAACAAGGAAAGTTTTATTAGCATCAGTAAAAATGATAAAACCTACAGCTCACCATTAAATAGGAATTAAGGCTGAAAGTCTGACGAAAACATAATCTTACATAAAAAAATCTCTAGAATCCACAAGTAACTCTTAGAACTAATGAACAAATCCAGTAAAGGTGCAGAATATAAAATCAGCCCACAAAAGTTGTATTACTCTACATACCAACAAACTGAAAAAGAAACTTAAGAAAACAATTTCACTTAATAAGAATAAAATACTTAGAAATAAATTTTATAAAATATTCGAAAATTACAAAAAATGAAAATTGAAGAAAAAATTGAATGAATGGGAAGATATTCCATATTAATAGACTAAAACAATCAATATCATTTAAATATCCATACCAACACAAGCATTAAGACTTAAAAAAAAAATACTATGATCTAAATCTCAACCAATTAAAAAAGGACAGAAGTAACCTACCACTCAGTAACCACTAGAGACAAATTCTCAGAGAATTTAAAACAGTCACTTAAAAGAAACTTGAGCCTCATGAAAACACAGAGAAACAATCTAACACTTTCACAGAGAAACTGTACAGACAGAAATGATTTTAAAATGAAATATCTAAAAAATATTCAGTGAAATTTAAAATAGGATAAAAGTTAATAACAGATTAGCTCAAACAGAAGAATTAGTGACTATAAAGACAGGCTACTTGAAGATACAAAGTCAGAAGAGAAAACAAAAAATGCATAAAGAAGCTTATAGCTAGTTTGAGACAGCATTATTAGTGCAAATGCTTCAGTTATGTGGTTCAAGAGATACTTGAGAATGCCAAAAGGATAGAAAGCGTTTTAAGAATTACTAAGAAAACTTTGCAAATTTAGATAGTTACATAAATATCTAAATATAAAAATATCCAGGTACAGGAAGTTCAGGGGTCACCAGTCAGATTTCCCCAACCAAATATATCCCCCAAATTATTATTAAGCCCACAAATATTAAGGATATAGGGAAGATTCTCAAAGCAGCAAGATAAAAGAAGCTAAATGTAAGAGTGCCTCAGCTCACCTGACAGTAGGTATCTCAGCAGGAACTTTACAACCCAGTAAAGTGGAATGAGATTTTCATAGAACTGAAGGCAAAAAAATAAAACTGCCAACCAAGAATACTATACTCAGCAAAACTATCCTTTAGAGATGGAGAGGTGAAGACATTCCCAAATAAGAATGCTAAATTTTTTCAAAATGAAACAAGGATATGTTAATGAATTATACATGTCTGTGGTAAAATATGTAATATACACAAGCTATCAATATAGAAATTATTCTCTGCAGGAGAGAGAGAAGGAATCACACTAAAAGGGAACTGAGGGTGTAAATGCAATGATTTATTTTTTAAGAACAACAAGGAAAACATCAACATTTGGTCATTTGCTGTGGTAGGTAAATATATATATTTGCCATCTTGTTCTCTGTGTTTGAAATCTTTAAAAATAAAAAATACGATAAACACAAAATTATAAATCTGCCTTCTGAAAAATGCTGGAAAATTTTTTGAAAATTGAGGCAACAAATAAATTGGAATATTTTACCTATGAAAAGGGGGATCAGAAAGGTGCATTTTTTGAAGATGACACAGTTCACAGTTGAGAATCTCTAGAATATTTGAATGTAACACATGAGGATTCATTTCAATTAGTAGGGGATTAACTTTGGCAGGTTAGTGATTCTACCCCAAAATCTTCACATTTTTAAGTTGGATATTCACAAAAACTTCACACAATTGAATGAGATATTGATGTGGTACTTATAATCCTGGTAAGGTGCAGTTCATTGTTGGTGCTGCTGTTTTTGTCTTACATATTCAGAGATTCAAATGCTGTAACATTTAACTTCAGAATACAAATTCAACTTACTCGCTGTGTAAAGATTCCTCACCCTTGGTGAACCACTTTTTCAAACTGTTCCATGTCATAACTATTACAGTTACTATGGCAAGAATAGGCAAGCCAACGTAGAAACTTAGAAGCCAGTTTTTGTTAGCCTTCCCTGAAGCTTTTGTGATGATTAAACCTAAACATTAAAAAATACATTACAAATTAAACTGTCTGCTTTTATTTTCAAGTTGCAACAAATTCATTAAGATAGTGTCAATTTTTGTTGAGAATAGAAAAATATAGAATGTGAGATTTGAAATATTAAGTAAGATATTACTCTTTATTTACTTTTGCATAAAGTGAAAAAATTTATTTTGGATCCGTTTTGTTTTGGCCCTACTGATTTTTTTATATTTTTAATAGTACAGGTTTGTAGTACACAATAGTCATGTTCATCGTGGGAAATATACGTGTATATAAAACATCTTAGCTTTTTTTTCCTCCCTTTCTCCTCCCCCTCCTCCAGCTCTTCTCCCCTCTCCACTTACAACTCTATTTGCATTTTTCCTTTTCTTTCTTTAAATGCCTTTTCTCTTCTTTCCCCCATCTTATTCCCCTCCTATTTGAAAAAATTCTTCCTACTTTTCATATCTGTCCTCCATTTTTTTTCCTTATTTATACTTTGGGTTCCTCACACAAAAGAAACAATGCAATATTTAAACTTGTGTGTCTGACCTATTTCATTTAAGATTATGATCTTGAGTTACATCCATTTAGCTAAATATGTCTTAAGCTAAGGCAGAGCAGTGCTCCATTGAATATCAATACCACGTTTTCTTTATCCATTCATCTGCTGATGGGCATTATGGGCTGTTTCCAAGATTGAGCTAATAAATTGTGCTGCTATAAAATGGCTATGCATACATCAGTGTGTTATGATGCTTTTAACTCTTTCTGGAAGATACCAAAGGGGGACAGCTGGGTCAAATGCAATCTTTAGGGTTTTTTTTTTGAGGACTCTCCATACTGATTTCCGTAGTGGTTGTGTCAATTTACACTCTTACCAACAATGGAGAAAGAGACCCCTGTACCTTGCAGCCTTGCCAGAATGGTATTGGCTGATTTCCTAATGACAGCCATTCTTTCTAGCAGGAAATGGATTCTCAACATTGTTTCAATTTGTATTTTTTGAATGGCCACCAATGCACTTATTTGCCATTTGTACTCCTTCATCTGAGAAATATCTATTCGTTTCAGATATTTTGACTGAGTCTTTAAATTTGGGGAATTTAAATTTCTTTCAGTTTTTACATAATCTACATATTAGTCCTCTGTCTGAGGAGTAGCTTGCAAAATGTTTTCACCATTCTATAGGTTGTTCCTTTACTCCATAGGTTTTTTTTTCTTGGTTTGTGTTTGTTTATTTGCTTGTTTGCTGTGCAGTTTTTAAATTTGATGTGATTCAGATTGTTGACTAGATAATATTTCCTCTGAAACCAAGGCTTTGGTCATAAAAGTATTTGCCCACATCTATGTCCTCAATCATTTTACCTATTCTATCTTCTTGCAGATTAAGTGTTTCTGTTTTAACATTTAAGTCACTGACCCATTTTCATTTTAGTTTAGTGCATGGTGAGAGATAGAGTCTAGATTCAATCTTCAGCATGTGGAAAGCCAGTTTTCCCAGCACCATTTGTTAAATAGGCCATTTTTCCTCCACCAAAGTGTTTGACCCCTTTGTCAAAGATGAAGTAGCTTTAAAAATGGAAGCTCCAGAAAGTTCAATAGTATTCTATGTGGCACAGCAGCTACCACAAAATCTCATTATAAGACTATATGTAGGCCCCCCCAAAATCAATGATATGTAATGCAAGATGATATAATCACAAGATTACCCAAATTTTTATTGTTACAAGATTCACAGGATTGGATTGTCAGAGAATTTCATCATACTTGCTTATATTGCATTTGTATTTGGTACATTATTGACTTTTGATTGTAGGGTAGTATTTTTTTATATGGAACCACATAAATGAGCACTAGCATAAAAATTAGGACACTTGATTCCTAACCCTAATTCTGCCACTAATCAGTATTGGATATGTAGGCATAAACTTAATTGAAAAGATCTATGTGAAAGATTTGTTTTGTTTACTATTGATCCTCAGTACCTAGATCACCATCTGAAGAGTACAAAGAGTTTAATCAAAATTTGCTAACTCAGTAAAATGCATGGATGACAGAAACTGAAATAACAGTGAAAAAAATAGTACACTGTGCCAGGATCTCTTCTGTCATCTCTTGAGCTGCTATTTAAAGATTATTTTCATTAAAATTATCAGCATCTTCAGACTAAAATCTTACATTCTATTTAATTTCTACAGCAAAAACATGGAGGAAAAATTCAGAAATGCTTAAATTTTAAAAGTTTATTACAGAAACAATGCATTGCCATTAATCCCCATCAAAGTTTTGCTCATGTAGAATACCTATCTCATGGTTTTGTGGTCCTGAAGTCCTCTTTCAGGCCTATCTTCACTGGCACTAGCATGGCTGAGTCAGTGTCTTGAAACAGTTTAAAGCATTGCTTTTCATAGCAATTTTGACTTTGTGAAAGAACTGGAAGTCCCACAGTGACAGATCTGGTGAATTGGAAACCACACCATAACGGTTCTAAAAGCTTGCCTTTCTGTTGGATGGCAGTTGGCAGCAGCATTCACCGTATTTTTTGTCACACTTCATGATACAGACACACAGACAAGGACTTCCAGAGCCGCTTCAGAAAATGATCAGAATGATGGGGTCATTATGTTAAGAGTAAGTGGGGAGTACTTTGAGGGGGAATAATGGTAATGTGTCTTAATGTGTAACAATTTTTAAAAATTTAGACATTCATCATATATTTTAATCACCTTGTGTTATTGGTAGTAGATACAGATTAAATGTTGTTAATTTTCAAAGGTGAAATCTCAGGATCAATCATAAAGATGGAGCAGCAAGTTGAAAAATATTCTTATAGGGAAAGTCAATGATACAAGAAAAGACAGACTTTCATAGATACTCAGCTTCAATTATGAGATTGTAACATTAGAAAAAAAAATTAAGAAGGTATATTTGACCATTCTTTGACAGAAGTCTGATTATCTTTCAAATACAAATATTATTAGTCTCTTTTTTCAAGTGGCAAAAATCTAACTTTATTTTATTGAAGATAAGCAATTTGAGGGTTTTAGTAAATGACTATTTAAGAGAGATAGGTACTTGCCTTCTTCTCCAGACCATCCCCTGGATTGTGCTTGGCAGTTTGGAGGCAGGTAGCCATCAGTACAGTTGCATTCATCTTGGGAATTGCACACCTAGAATCATTTTTAAAATTTTAAGTGATTTTTTAAAAAAATGTATGTGCATTGAAAGTCAAACTCTGAAATAGATGATGTTTATTTTTATATCTAAAAATATTGTGATCTTATTTGTGTGATTTACTGGAAGATAATCCCACAAAATGAATATTTGGTTTCTTCAACACACACACACAGACACAGACACACACACACGAGCTATAAAGCAAGGCTCACATTTGCATCAAGAAATGTAACACCCCCCCAAAAAAGAAACATAACACTTTTAAATGTTTACCTACACATTTTATGTGCAATTGCAAAACCACACTCCATTTAAATTCTAACATGAATACAGCCCCTCTTACGCTGTGCTTGAGACCATTCAAGGGCCCTAAACCAGGACAGGGTTTTGTTTTGTTTGCATTGGCTGACTTGATTTAAGTGAAACCTTTCTTAATCCAAGAGGACATCAGATACGTAGATACGGTTTAACAGTAGGAAGTGAAGATATCAGTAGTTGAGAAATGCAACAGAGTAATTAAATAATAACAAACACATTTATTGGGCTTACTTTCTCTGAATTTTTACTCTGAGCACTTTAAATAGATTTACCCATTAAATCTACCAACATCCCATTGAGGTGATGACTGTTATTAGCTGCTCCTTACAAATGAAAAACTGAGGCTGGTTATTTAAATTGCCAAGAGTCAAACAGGATGTAACTACATAAGCTAGATTCAGAGGCCTTGATTTTGACCACTGTGCTATGCCTCCTCACAAAATAATATAAACCATCCAATTTCTGGGATCTTACTGAGGCCTTAATCTTAGTGTAAGAATGTGAGTATTTTACCCTCAATCCCAAATACTTCACAAAACTGCTGTTCCTCTCGGAGAGCAACGATTTCAGTAGGGCCCAGCATTACCTCCTCATTTGGATCACTCAAGGAGGGGTGGTCTTCATGTTTTTCCACTGTAAATTTATTAAGCTGCTGCTTGTAACTAGTAAGTAATTTGTAGAGAGATTTTTTTTAAAGATTAGGTACATATAGCTCTCCTTTTAAAACTTTTGCCCCTTAGTTTTAGCATCCACTGGTAATTATTTTATCACTTTATTCCTTTTGCTTATTGTGTGAGGAAGACATTTTCTTCTTCCCCATTCACTTGAGATGTAGTTGTCATCGCAGTTATTATAATAGTATAATAAATACATAATACTTTTATGTATTACATTTTAAATATTTAATTACACATTGTATTTTATCTAGTGAATCACATTCTGTTAACATTTTTATACTCATGTTTGGACAATGGAAGCTCTGATTTTAATTTTTAATTTATACTGTTTAATATTCACAAATAACAGTTGTAAATATTCATGGAATATAAGGTGATACTTTAGCACATAAGGTACCAATCAAATGCGGCAATTAGAATTCCCATTCTCTTACTTCGTTGTGGTTAAAGCCTTCAAACTCCTCCCTTCTAATGTTTCATAAACTATATAATAGGGTATTGTGAACTGTACTCATTGTACGAGGCTGTGGAATACTAAAATATATTTCTTCTCTGTAACTATGTTTTGGTATCCATTATCCCAACTACCTCTATTCTCCCTGCTCCTGGCCTGTATTAATCACCATTTTCTATTCAGATGGACTATTCTTAGAGTACACACATGAAACAGAAGATGTATGTCTTTCTTTGCCTAGTTTATTTTACTTAAATGTCCTCCAGTTTTATTCATTTTGCTGTACTTTTCTTTTTATGGCTGAATAATATTCCACTGTGGTGTGTGTGTGTGCGTATTGCATATTTTTTACTCATTCATCCATTATTTTTTATAATACAGGCATTAACTATATCAGTTATACCATAGGAATTCTTTTACTTTTTTTTGTATTTCCTCTTCAATTTCTCTCATCAGTGTTTTATAATAATCGTTGTAAAGATCCTATCACTTCATTCAATTTATTTCTAGATATTTTCATAGATTTTGTAAATGGGATTCCTTTAGTGACTTATTTCTCAGCAAGTATACTGTTAGTGTATGAAAGTACTACTTTTTGTATATTGATTTTGAATCCTGCAATTTTACTAAACGTATTTATTGTTTCTAATAATCTTTAGATGGAGTCTTTGGATTTTTATACAGAAAATCATACTATCTGCAAATAAGGACTCTTTTATTTTCTCCTTTCATATGTCCATGCCTTTTATTTCTTCCTCCTTTCTCATTTCTCTGGATAAAATTTCCAGTGTTATACTGAATAAGAGTGGTGAAATTGGACCTTTTTCTCTTTACCAGCTCTTAGTGAATCCATCAATTAAGAGCTGAGTCCTGAACTGCATAAAAGTAAAATTTTCTCCTCTGAAAAATGTAGTGAAGAAAATCAGAAGATAAACCACAGATCTCAAGAAAATATTTACAAAAGACCAATTCAGATACAGTACTATTATACAAAATAAATGAAACCACTTAAAATCTACAATAAGAAAACAAGCAGTTTAATTTAAAAATAGGCAAAGACATGAAGAGACCCTTTACCAGCAAAGATATACATAGGGCAAAAAGTATATGAAAAGATACTGTACTATACCATGTGTCATTTGGGAAATACAAATTACAACAGTAAGATACTACTACACACCTATAAGAATGACAAAAGTACAAAATACTGACATAAAAGTCTGGCTAGATGTGGAACAAGAGTGACTCTCATTTATTTCTGGTGCGACTGTGAAAGGGTGGGGCCACTTGACAAGACATTTTGGCAGTTTCTTACAAAATGAAGCATAGTCGTATGGACAGTTGAGTTAGGTAAGAATATTGTAGGTAGTGAGATAGAGCTAGGCCTTCATGAGAGTCGGGACAAAAGTGAAACATCACAATTGTGGCTGGAGACACATCTTTTGGAGAGAGGGCCTTAAGATAGAGACAAGATGACCAGATCCATATACTTACCCAAACACTGGGCCTAATGAAGTCTAGATAAACATCAGTCACCCCAGTGGGTGACCAGAGACCTCTGAACCCATTATTTCCTAGAAGAAGTCTTTGTTCTGTCCATGGCTACTTGTTATATAACTTGTTTCCTCATTGGACCACTATTACCTAAGTGGCTATATTTGTAACCTTATTGGTTGATCACAGCTGTGGCCCATGTTGTAGGCACATGGGTTTTGCTCTATAAAACTTCCCTGGCTACCCATTTGGGACCCTTCCTGACTCTCAGGAGCTATCCTATCAATAAATATCTTCTTAATCTCACCCTCTGTTTTTCCCAGAATTCATTCTTTGATTTTTTTAACAGGTTGGGAGATATAATATTTCATATTTCATCTCTGGTATCATTTTCTGTATCACTCTCATCTATGATCTGAGTGTGACCTTTGGTATCTATTGAAATGTGTTAAAAATTCATGTCTTTAACACAAACCTATACAAGAATGCTTTAAAATATTGTATTAATAACTACTAAAACCTGGAAGCAATTATGATGTTTTTCATTAGGTGAATGAATATATGAGTGTTACATTCAGACAAATGAATATTAGTTAGAATTGAAAAGGAAACAGATCTCAAAATATGAGAAGATATGTAGGAATCTTTTTTTTTTTTTTTTTTTTCCCAGGATCAAACTCGGGGCTTTGAGCTTGCAAGGCAGGCCACCACTGAGCTAAATTCCTGGCCCATGTAGGAATCTTAACTGTGTACTACTATGTGAAATAAGCCAATCTTGAAAGTCTATATACTGTATGATTCAAGTAATATGGTATTTGAGAAAGGGAACAGCTATTAAAACTTTAAAACATAACTTTTCCAGAGATGAGGATCACTGAAAGATAAAAAGGCCAAATTTAAAAAACTTGGTGGAGACCCCAGCCCCAACCTCCAGACCTCAGCAGAGGAACAGTGAGAGGCACAGCCAGGCAGGCGCCTGTAGCCCCTCCCCACTCCCATGCGCCTCTGGCCTCCTGGCTGGGCTGGTATTTGGATTCACACCACAGAGGCATGGGGGATCATAAAAGCCATTGTTCTGAGCTCCACCCTTGATTTTGATTTAATTTGCATGGTTAAAGGTGATAGATTAATAGCTATCACAAATTGTCATTTTCTAAGCAGTGTTTGATGCTATTGTGTTGCTGACTGTATCACTTGGGCTAAGGTATTGTGATCTACTCAGTTGGCCTTCCTGGTGTCATGAAAATAAGAGGGCCTCAGAGTCAACAGAGACTCAAAACCTAAAGACAAGCTATAAAAAGAAGATCAAAGTATTAAGGCAGGAATTAAACCCAGGACAGGACCAACAACAAATATAGAAATTATAAGAAATTCAAGCAAGGCACAAGAACAAAGCACAGGCTGCCAGTTCACCAGAGGCAAATTCTGGGGAAAATGAGGTGGAAAAGTCTGATAATCAACCACCGGGACACCCTGAACTGATAGCATAGGTAGTAACAAAAGAGATCAGTGAGGCTTTAGAAAAATTCAAACAAAAATAATTTCCCACATAACTACAGAGATGGTGAACAGAATGAAAAACATAATTAGAGACTCTAGAACAGGAATGGATAAAAAAATACATGAGGGGCCAGGGATTTAGCTCAGCAGTTCGGTGGCCTGCCTTGCAAGCGCAAGTACCCAAGTTCAATCACCGGTACCAAAAAATAAATAAAAAATAAATAAATACATGAGTTCAGACCATGATAGGAGCCATGAATGCCCAGCATAGGAAAGAAATGGAAACCATGAATGCCCAACACAGTAAAGAAATGGAATCCATAAAACATTACAAGAGATATCCAGGACATTAAAAAAAACTCTACTGAAAGTATACATAACAGACTAAGACAATCAGAAGATAAGATATCAGATACAGAAGACAAGATGGCAGTCAGTGACCATGAAAAGAGGGATCGCTTAAGCAAAGGGAGAAATCAATCTAACAGCTCTTAGAAGACTCAAAGAAGAATAATATAAGACTGATATACTTGGGAGGCTGAGGCATTAGGATCACTGTGAGTTCAAGACCAACCTGAGCTACATAGTGAGTTCCAGGTCAGGCTCACTACATAGTGAGACCCTCTCTCAAAAAACCAAAAAAAAAAAAAAAATACTGATAGTCCATGAAAAAGCAAGAGAAAGCACAAAACTTCCCAGAGTAAACAGAATTTGATATACAAATAAGTGAGGCTTATCAGACTCCAACTAGCCATGATAAAAAATATACACCTAGACATATATAATAATCAAGATCCCAGAAACCCAACAGAAAAACAAAATACTGCAAGCAGTTAGAGAAAAGAAACAAATCACATGCAAAAGAAAGCCCATCAGAATCACAGCAGACTTTTCAACCCAAACCTTCGAGTCAAGTAGGGCCTGGAGTGAGGTATTTCAATCCCTAAAAGAAAACAACCTCCAACCTAGACTGATGTATCCTGCAAAACTATCTTTCAGAATTGATGGGGAAACAAGATACTTTCATGACAAAGAACATCTGAGAAACTTCAAGAATACTAAAGCCACATTTCAGACAATTCTAATAATATCCTAGAAAAAGACAATAAAGATCACAACTCCATGAGGCTTAACAGAGCAAATCTAGCAGGCAAGACAAGAAATTAAGTGGAGGGGGGGAAAACATTAAAAAGAGCCAACAACAGGAAAATAACATGATAATGATAAGTCAGTACATATCAGTCATAACCATCAATGTTAATGGCCTCAATTTACCAATCAAAAGAAACAGGCTAGCAGAATGGATTAAGAAGCAAAATCCAGAACTATGCAATATACAAGAAATGCACCTAGTTCAAATAGAAACTCATAGACTGAAAGTAAAAGGATGGAATATAGTTCTCCATGCAATACGAATCCAGAAGAAAGCAAGGGTAGCTATCTTATTTGCAAACAAAGTAAATTTCAAACCAAAACTAATTAAGAGAGAAAAAGAATGTCACTACTCACTATCTCCTTGTAAAGAGAGGAGGAAGAGATGATAATCATAAATATATATGCTCCAAATACTTATGCCCCAACTATACAAAACAAATATTAAAGGACATGAAAAACCAAATAAGCACTAATACATTTGTAGTGGGGGACCTCAATACACCAGTGTCACAAATAGGTCATCTAGACAAAAAATCAACAATGAAATACTGGAACTGAACCAAGCATTTGAACAAGTGGACTTAAACACTCTACAGAGTATTTCACCCCACAAAATCAGAATATACATTCTTTTTGGCTGCGCTTGGGTCATTCTCCAAAATAGACCACATAGTAGCTCATAGAGCAGGTTTTAAGTAAATGCAAAGGAGTTAAAGTTATCCCATGTATATTATTAGACCAAAGTGCAATTAAACTGGAGATCAATAGCAAATGAAACCACAAGAACTTCACAAACACATGGAAATTGAAAAACACTCCTGAACAACCAATGGGTCACAGAGGAAATCAAAGAAATTAGACAGTTTTTACAAATAAATGATTATGCTACTACAACATACAGGAATCTGTGGGACACAATGAAAGTAGTTCTCTGAGGGAAATTTATGGCAGTGAATGCCCACACCAGAAAAACAGAGTGAGCTCAAATAACTTAATGGTGAATCTTAAGCTCCTAGAAAAAGAACAGCAAGACAAACCCAAAGTCCATACAAGGGAGGGTAATATAAAGATCAGAGCAAAAATCAATGCAGTGGAGACTAAGAACAATACAAAAAAGGAATTGAAAATTTTGTTTTTGGAAAGAATAAATAAAATTGATAAACCCTTAGCCAACCTTATCAGAAAAGGAAAGAGGGCTGGGGATTTATCTCAGGCACTGTGCCTGCCTTGCAAGTGCAAGGTCCTGAGTTCAATCCCTGGTACTGGAAAAAAAAAAAAAAGACAGGAAAGAAAAGGTTCAAATCCATGAAATTAGGAATGAAAAATGTGAGCTCACAACAGATCCAGGAGAAATCCAATCCAGAGGATCATCAATACCTACTTGAGAACCTGTACTCTAATAAAATGGAAAATACAGAAAAACTGGACAGATTTCTAGATACATACGAATTACCAAAGTTGAACAAAGAAGATGTAAAAATTCTAAACACCCTAATTAAAATCAGTGAAATTGAAAACATAATTTAAAATTTACCAACAAAGAAAAGCCCAGGTCCTGATAGCTTCACTGCTGAATTCTACAAGACATTTAGAGAAAAACTATTGCCACTACTTTGCAAACTTTTCAGTGCAATTGAAAAGGAAGCAATACTTCCAAATTCAATCTTAGAAGAAAGAGTTTGATTCCAAAACCAGGGTAAGACCCAACCAAAAAAGAAAACTACAGGCCAATCTCCCTAAGGAACATAGTTGTAAAAATCCTCAAAAAGATACTGGCAAACAGAATACAGAAGATCATCAAGAAAATCATACACCCTGACCAAGTCAGATTTATCCTAGGGATGCAAGGATGGTTCAACATATGTAAATCAATAAATTTAATGCAGTATATTAATGGAGTCAAGGACAAAAACCATATGATCATCTCAATAGATGCAGAAAAAGCAAATTCAGAAATCATTCATAATAAAAGCTCTGCTGAAAATTGGAACAGATGGTCTTTATCTCAGTTTTATAAAGGCCATCTATGCAAAATCAGCAGCCAACATCATATTTAAATGGCCAAAACCTGAAAATCTTCACCCTAAAATCAGGAACAATACAAGGATGTCCACTATCACCACTCCTGTTCAATATAGTTCTTGGAACATTAGCCACAGCAATTAAACAAGACAAAGTAATTGAAGCAACAAAGATAGGAAAGGAAGAAGTTAAACTGTTATTATTTGCTGATGATTTGATACTCTACATAGAAGACCCAAAAAAATCCACCAAAAGACGTCTAGACTTGTTGACAGATTCAGTACAGTACCTGAACACAAGGTAAACACTTAAAAATCAATATCCTTCTTGTATACAAATAACAGTATCCTTGAGAGAGAAATTATGAAAAAAAATCCCTTTCACAATAGCATCCCAAAAAATCAAATATCTAGGAATCAATCTGACAAAAAAGCAAAAGACCTCTACATTGAGAACTACAACAGTCTAAAAAAAGAAATTGAAGAGAATATAAGAAAATGGAAAGATATCCCTTGTTCCTGGGTAGCAAGAATGGATGTAGTGAAAATGGCCATACATCCAAAACTGCTATACAGATTTAATGCAATCCCAATTGAAATTGCAACAGTATATTTCACAGAATTAGAGAAAACAACACAAAAAATCATTTGGAACCAGAAGGGACCTAGAATAGCAAAAGCCATTCTAGGCAACAGAGACATGGCAGAAGCTATCACAATCTTCAACTTGAAACTATATTACAAAACCACTGTGTTAAAAACAGTATGGTACTGTCAAGGCAACAGACCCGAGGATAGGTGGAATAGACTAGAAGATGCAGAAGGAACTCCAAACATACTCAGCTACCTCATCTTTGACAAAGGAACAAACCATCCTCACAGGAGGAAAGATAGCCTCTTTAATAAATGGTATTGGAAAAACTGGCTTTCAACTTGGCAAAAATTAAAACTACACCCCTATCTTTTACCATGCACTAAACTAAAATTGAAGTGGATTAAAGATCTAAATATTAAAACAGAAGCACTAATCTTATTGGAAGATAAGTTAGGTAGATTTTTCCACTGTAATAACAGCACCATTTCCGAGACAGATGTTGATAATGAAGACAGCTATGTGTGTGTGAGGCAGGAGATATGTGGGAAATACCTGTGTCTTACTCTCAGTTTTGCTATGAACCTAAAACTTTTCTTGAAAGAGACTTTAGTATTAAAAAAAGTTACTGAGCCATAAAAAGACCTGGAAGTTTGCATGCAAATACTAAGTAAAAGAAGCCATTCTAAAACAAAAATCTACATATTTTATAATTCTAATAGCATGATATATTGAAAAAGAAAAATATGGAGAGAGTAAAAATGCTTGTTAAGGGTTAAAGAAAAGGGAAGTATGATGAGAGAGGGCACAGAAATTTTTTAGGGTAGGTAAAACATTATATATGATAATAATGAATGCATTGGTCAAAACATAGATTATCTGTCAAAACCAAGAGTGAATTCTCATATAAACTTTGGTTGATGATCCTTCACTTTAAAAAGTTAACACTCTAGTATGAGATATTAAAATTGGGAGACAGCTGTGAATATAAAGCTCCAAAAAACAAAGAATATTTTTTAAAAAGACGGACAAATCAAGTTGTTCACGATTCCATGTATTCACAGAAGTAGGAATTATCTTCCCTTTTTCTTTCCTCATTGAGTTTATTGGTACATTTTAGGTATACATCACAGCTACATTCATCACTGGGATCCTGTACCTTTACATGACAGGTCTTGGTTCTCATTTTTCCCCTTGTCCCTGCCCTCCCTTCACCCCCTCCTCCCTTCCCTATTTACAAAGACTTTGTTTAACTCTTTTGTGTTCGCTTATTTTTCCTTGTCCCTATTTCCTTTCCCCCACCCTTCCCACTTTCCCTACATTATCTTGCCTTTTTGAACAAATTTAGTTATTTATTAGAGTATTTTTGAAAAGTGCCCAGTTATAACAATTTTCTTTTTTTTTTCAGCTTTAATTTAGTTTATTGGTACATTTTAGGGATACAGTACAGTTACATTCATTGTTGGGAATTTGTACCTCTACATGACAGGTCTTGGTTCTCATTTTTTCCCCTTGTCCCTGCCCTCCCTTCACCCCCTCTCCCTATAACAATTTTCTTATGTTATCAGTATTCCACCTCAACACAAACTGTTGAGGTGCTGAATTTAGTTACTCAGTTCAGCTCCAACAGAAGCAGTGGGGCCTTGCAGAGAGTAAGAACCCCACTGATACATTAACAAGTGATGTTAAAAAGCATCCGAGATGTGACTCAAGGAAATGTGCTTACTTACCCCATGGCCGGAGCACTTTGCTGAACATGCAGATGACGCGTCCTTAATCAGTCTTGATTCTACACATTGGCCGTTTACACAAACCTAACGAGCAACACATACAGAAACATTTTCAATTCAGAAGGATTCAGCCATCGATACATTACAATTAGTCATTTGTAGAAGATAAAATTGCAACGATTCACGTTATATATTTATAAGCATCATGTTTGCAGTACTCTTCAAATGTCAGTAAGTTATAGTTTCATTTTCTTTTAGTTTTAACTATTTTAAATTTTCTCTCGAAGTATTTTTGGGCCCATGGGATATTTAGACGTGTTGCTCAATCACCGAATAGTTGAGGATTTTTCCAGTTGACTCTGATGTACACGATGGACTTCAGGTGACAGGGATACATCAGTGTAGGCTCATCAGGTGTAACGTGTCCTGCTATCATGTGGAAGGGGGTGCAGAGCACAGAGAACACATGGTCTTTTAGTAACTGCCAATTTTTGCTGTGAACCTAAACCTTTACTAAAAATATAAAGTATGTCATTTTAGTGAATAATTTTTAGCATGATTCATAGTGGAGAAGTGGAGGATTTTCATAAAATTGAAATTGACTATAACAAATATAACCAAATAACTAGCTTTTATTGAAATACCATGAAATTTAAAAAAGAAAGTATTTATCAGCACAGGTGAAAGAATACTCAGTACTTATTGTACATAATTAAAATTTTCATACAAAAAATAAATTTCAGATAATCATAGCATAGTTTCAGTTTTCATGGAGCTATTATCCATGTTTCCTAAGTATTTAATAAGATAAAACAGGGACTATGATTAAAATATAATAAAGATGTATATTATAAAATCATATCTATTGTGGAATGAAAAAAAAACAAGTAAATTTTGGATTTTAAATTACAATAATCAGAGTAAGGACATATTCTCAACTTCATGACATAGAAATCTCAATTTCCCTAAATTGCAATAATTTTGAGTACAATATTTTTCTTAAAATTTTTATTTTAAAAAGTAGTGATTTTTAGTGCTAAAAGAAAATAATGAATGAAAATTATATACTTTTAAATATTAAAGCATAGTACAAATCTCTCCAAAGAAAAAGCCTTATAAAATATCTTCTAAAACCAAACAGCTTAGCCCTTTTAAGTCATTAATACATTGAGTTTCCTCACTAACATCTGCTTTTGAAATGCAGTGTTTATTGTAGGCCTGGTTCACACGATTTTGAAACAGAGTAGTTGCATTATCTTAATCAAAATTGCCAGGAACATTTCATCATGTATGATTTACAGAATCATTAAAAATTATGTGGTAAAATTTATTTTCATATATTATCTCTGAGCACTTTTCATGTTTTAAAAAAGACTTCTTATTAAAGATGACCTGTTGTATAATCTCAATTGTTTAATGTCAATTGTATAATCCATTTGTTTATTTCATTTTTTTATGTTTTGGCTGCATGGCATTAGTAGAACTACTGAGCTACTCGCCTAAATGTCTCAAGAAGGTATTTATGACTCCTAAGGCTGAAGATAAAGCCTAGTTTTATAGTTTATTTAAACTACAGAACCATTAAGAGTAGTTATTAATATACATACATCTATATACATTTCACATTATGATACTACATCTTTATTATGTTAAATTATAATAATAATTTGTGCAATATTGCCATCAAGTAGAAGAGTAAGAATTCAAATCTTTGTGTATCAACCTTTACAGCCCACACAAAGGTCAGGCATGAAATAATATTTAGAAGTAAACTTATTCTCTATATGTTTTCCCATATTTCAGTTGGCTTCAGAAATAACAAATTATAATGTAAACAATCAATAGTAACAGCCAAACTATATTCAGTTTTTACTATGTGCTGGGCATTCTGCTATATAAAGAATATCCTTCACATTGTTATGTCATTTGATTTTCAGAATAGCCCTATATTATCCTAGTATCATCCCCAAATCTACATACAGTTAAAGCATCTCAGACTGGTTATGTAACTCACAAAATGTCAAAAATAAGAGGTACAGATTTTACTTTAAGTGCACTTATCTAAACTTGCTTTACCCCACAGGTTCACCAAGATATACATGACAGTTACTTGTGATGTGTCCAGTTGGTTGGAGTAAAAAGCACCTAGCAAATTAGGAAAGCACAGTTCTGGGTGTGTCTGTGGATGACTGACACACAGGCCAACAAAGAGAAGCAGGAAGATGCACTTTGGTTGTGGGTGGCAGCAACCAATAGGCTTATAGTCTGGATAGAATAAAAAAGGGAAATAAGAAGGAAGTGCTGGGGTTTTTTTCTCACTGAGTTTATTGGTACATTTTAGGTATACAGTACAGTTACGTTCATTATTGGGATCTTGTACCTTTACATGACAGGTCTTGGTTCTCCTTTTTCCCCTTATTCCTGCTCTCCCTGAACCCCCTCCTCCCTTCCCTATTTACAAACACTTTATTTCCATTTTCTCCTATTTTTTTCTTTTCCCTTATTACCTTTCCCCTATGCTTCCCATTTCTCCTACACCTTTAGCCCTTTTCTTCCTATTTCACACTGTCAATTATCTCATTAGGATCTTATGTACTATTATAGTTTTTCAGACCAGAGAAACTATTCGGTATTTACACATGTGTGACTTATTTATTTCACTTAAGGGTATATCCTCAATATATATCCATTTTCCTATGAATGACTCTAATTTCTCATTCTTTCTGGCTGAGTAGTATCCCTTTTATAGAAAAACCACATCTTCTTTATCCAGTCTCCAACTGATGGGCAAATGGGCTGTTTCCAAGTTTTAGCTATTACAAACTGTGCCGCTATAAACATAGGTGTGCATATATCACTGTGATATGATTCTTTGGAAGTGCTGGTTTTAAAGAGCTCTGGTCCTTAGCAGACATGTCCTTTACTGCCATTGCCTTTAGACATCATTCCCCAGGTTTCCAGTTTCTTCAGTCTTTCAATGAGAATGTACTGGCCACTCTCCACTGAGATTCCAGGCCTTCAACTTTGGAATGGTAATGTGCATGTCATCCTTCTTACTCTGTGTCTTCCATCTTCTTGGGCTGATCATCTAGTTCTCCAGCATGCAGATGATCACTGTGGATTCTCCTGATCCTGAAAGTCGACTTAATAAGTCTTCTTGCTCAAATACACATGTATGTTCTATTTATTATGTTCCTCTCAGCACCCTAATCAATGCAGCCTATATTTAAAAGTGGGATTTCTTCTTTCTTCTTTTTTTTTCAGCTTTAATTGAGTTTATTGGTACATTTTAGGGATACAGTACAGTTACATTCATTGTTGGGATATTGTACCTCTACATGACAAGTCTTGATTCTCATTTTTTCCCCTTACCTCTGCCCTCCCTTCACCCCCTCCTCCCTTCCCCATCTACAAACACTTTATTTTCATCTTTTCATTCTCTCACATTTTTTTCTTTTCCCTTTTTACTCTTCCCCTACCCATCCCACCTTCCCTACACCTTTAGCTCCTTTCTTTCCATTTCTAAATGTCATTAATCTTATTAAAATCTTATGCATTTTTGCAGATTATTCACACCAGGGAAACTATTCGGTATTTACACATGTGTGACTTATTTATTTCACTTAGGAGTATATCTTCAATATGTATCCATTTTCCTATGAATGAATCTATTTTCTCGTTCTTTATGGCTGAGTAATATTCCATTTTATAGAAAAACCACATCTTCTTTATCCAGTTTCCAATGGATGGGCAAAT